ATCATTACATAATGTACCAGTTTTACAAATTGTCAGAACGTATCATTACATAATGTACCAGTTTTACAAATTGTCAGAACGTATCATTACATAATGTACCAGTTTTACAAATAGCCAGAACGTATCATTACATAATGTACCAGTTTTACAAATAGCCAGAACGTATCATTACATAATGTACCAGTTTTACAAGTAGTCAGAATGTATCATTACATAATGTACCAGTTTTACAAATAGCCAGAACGTATCATTACATAATGTACCAGTTTTACAAGTAGCCAGAATGTATCATTACATAATGTACCAGTTTTACAAATAGTCAGAACGTATCATTACATAATGTACCAGTTTTACAAATAGCCAGAACGTATCATTACATAATGTACCAGTTTCAGAAGTAACCAGAACATATCAAAACATTTTCAGGTTATTTGTTATTAAAGCCTTAATTCTCATTTTCTTTTCTTATTCTTGTACCCCTTGTGAAAAATAAGCTCTCCAACTATTATACTGTCTTCTGGTAGGTCAATGATGAGTTTATGGTGGGCAGAGCACAGATAGCCCATTGTGTATCTTTGTGCCAAAACAAAAAACAACTTAAAATTATAAAATACAAAAACAAAATAAGATAATGATTTGTGTAAATGACTGTACAGCACAGGTTTTACCTTTGTAACAGTATCTGTTTTTTAACTGTGTGTAACAATGATTTATATGCCTTACTTTTGTAACCTTTATATTTGTTATATCATTTAAAGAGAATTACTTGGGCAAGCATGGATGAAAGCCGAGAAAACAACAAAAGCTCCACATATCATACTGATGACTAGGAGATTTAACGATGTAAGTACTAAGGTCTGAGTTGTCAAAAGTGCTTTAATTATAGTAGCCATGGGGCTAACCATTTAGTTCAAAAGTGCCTTAATTATAGTAGCCATGGGGTTAACCATTTAGTTCAAAATTGCCTTAATTATAGTAGCTATGGGGTTAACCATTTAGTTCAAAATTGCCTTAATTATAGTAGCTATGAGGCTAACCACAAAAAACTGGTAGTGGCCATCCCACCATCCTGAGATTAAGAGGGACCTTGTTTGTGAGAAAGGGGAGAAATAAGGTTTATAACTAAAAATAAAAGCCTGCTACTTCTACTTTTGAGCACCTACATTTTTCTCAAGTTTTCGAACATCTGGTGTGCAGTCAAGAAAAACTTTATAGTTTCTGTGTAACTTGAACAGCTATTATAAAGTTTCATGACAACAGTTTCTTTAGCTTGGTAGTTTTAATCCAACAGGTTAGTCGGCTAGTTGTGTCCGAACTCATGAGAACTCCAGAAATAGCTAAGCGGGTGTTTATCATTGAGAAATGGGCAGCAGTGGCTGACATATGTCGCTGTCTTCACAACTTTAATGGTGTCCTCCAGATCTGTGCAGCATTTATGAACAGCTCAGTGTTTCGACTAAAGAAAACGTGGGAAAAGGTTTCTAAAACAGTATGTATCTTTCTCGTATAAATCCTTTTCTTCTTAATTAGAAGTTTGGAGAAAATTATATCCAAGTAAGCTTCAGTCTGGTATGTTTTTTAGCATTCAGTATTGGTATTAGACTTACCATTTTCTGACAAAATGTGCTAACTAAGTATCTTTTCTTTCTCAACTAGACCAAGCAGACAGTTGACAAACTGCAGGTCCTAGTTTCAGCTGATGGAAGGTTTCGGAACATGAGGGATGCCCTTCACAGGTTAAAATTGACAAATTTTGTTTTTTGATATCACAGGAGAGGAAGAAGTGTAGTAGTTGCATACATATTTTGTTTGAGGGGGTGATATCTGCAGGTTGTGTGACAGAGGTTAGCACTGAATTATCTGAAAGGCAATTAACATGTTATCAACTTATGAATTGGGATTTAGTGTTATTTGATAGGATAAATCCTAGTACGTGTATGACACTAGCTGAGAATCATTCCTGTGTGAAAGGCTGGTGGTTGTGTGACTCATGTTACTATGTATTTCTGTATGAGGGGTGAGAGTTCAGTTGTAGTGTGACATAGGTCATAATGTAGTTCTGTATAAGTGGTAAAGTCCAGTAGTTGTGTGACACATGTAACAATGTAGTGCTGTATGAGGGGTGAAAGTCCAGTAGTTGTGTAACACATGTTAAAATGTAGTTCTGTATAAGTGCTGAGAGTCCAGTTGTTGTGTGACACAGGTCATAACATAGTTTTATGTCAGTGGTAAAGTCCAGTAGTTGTGTGACACTTGTTACAATGTAGTGCTGTATGAGG